GATCTGCTTTTCCTTTGTTTATCCCAACTTTGCAACTAGTTTTGTATGTTTTGCTCCTTTTAAAAAAGTACAGTATAAGAATTTCAAAGCTTCTCAATAAAATCCATTTTGGCTATTGCTTTAAAGGGTGCTGTTTTAATCAACATCTATTAAGATAATTCCACGAAATTCCAAAATATAGACAAGATTGGAAACCCCTAAAAGACAACAATGACAAGTCATTTGAAGAGATTTGAAGAGACTTCCATATTTTTGCCAAGAAAAATGACTTACCTTACATTAAATTGCCCTAAACTAGTACTTTTCTATTTTTTGAAGATGTGTGGACCTTAGTCGCTGGCCAGGCCAGGGATCACCACTGATTATCATCCTTCCTGCTCCTAGGAGGAGCCAAAGATCACCCTGCTTCCATACCATAGATTTTAATGGAAAAACACATTTTGGCCAAGACTCCTGCAGTATCATCCTATGGAAGACAAGTGCTGGGAGGGGAAATAAATTTCATGAGAAAATGTGGTAATCTTAGCAACTCATTAAAGGTGGAATCTAAATCATCTAAATAAATACATGGAAAGCAAAAATGCAATATGCACCTATTTGTAGTGCCTAGAGGTAATTCTCAACAAACCACAAGAGCTCCAAAGTTCTGTTGCTAAGTGGGACATTTGTTAAGTGGATTTTGTCCCATTTTGCAACCTTTTTTGCCACAGTTAAGTAAACCACTGTGTTACTTAACACAGTTGTTAAGTAAATTAAGTTAGTAACATGGTTGTTAAATGAATCTGGCTTCCCATTGACTTTGCTTGTCAGAAGGTGGCAAAAAGTGATCACATGACCATGGGACACTGCAACTATCACAAATATTACTCAATTGCCAAGCACCTGAATTTTGATCACATGACATGGGGATGCTGCAATGGTTGTAAATATGAAAAACGGTCATAAGTCACTTTTTCAGTGCTGTTGTAACCTTGAATGGTCACTAAATGAACTGTTGTAAGTCGAAGACTATCTGTATTTGTATTGCTTCACCTTTATACTGAATACTGTTGCACATTTGCCAAATACATGTCAAGTTTCTATTACTGGGCAAGAGCTTCTTGTAAATGCCAATTTGCACATACTCAAAGGAACAATAACACTGCTAGTTATTTCAGTTCTATAATAGCAATAGCACTTACTTATATACCGCTTCACAGTGCTTTACAGCCCTCTCTAAGCAGTTTACAGAGTCAGCATATTGCCCCCAACAATCTGGGTCCTCATTTTACCGACCTTGGAAAGATGGAAGGATGAATCAACCTTGAGCCTGGTGAGATTCGATCTGCCAAACTGCTGGCAGCCAGGTGATCAGCAGAAGTAGCCTGCAATACTGCACTAATAATAATGTAATCCAAACTGGAATACTTCCTATTCTAGGGCTTAGCCCAGGAAATCTCTTCAAAGTGGGTGAGAGCCTCTGTTTTTAGAGTCTGGGCAATAACACCTAATGTCCTAGAAATATCAACTTGATCAATTAACCAGCCAACTCTAATTATTCCTCTCCATCCACCTTTCAGATTTCATCTGCATCATCACTCTGTGGAAGATTTCCGGGTTGTGCATTGATCGTATATAATATGGTGCTCTACCTGTTTTACCTGTTTGCTATTATGATGTAAAGAACAACAACAAAAAAGAGTGAAGTCTCTTTTCTGGATATCGCCACATCCGGGTTCTCGATTTGTGGATAACTTTTTTGTTCCGTTTTCGCTGGGTCGTCCGGATTTTTGCAGCTAGCTCAGAGTGCCTTTCCAGCCAGGCTCTGCAGTGACTTTGGGGTCTATTTGCCATTGTCTTCCTTCAAGCCTAGCCTGTAGCCTTGATGTTCTCACTGGTGGAATTCCATCCAAATGTTAACCAAGGCCGATTGCGTAACTTCCGAGATCAGCCAAGGTCAGCGGGGATGCCCACAGTGGTGGGTTCCTCCGGTTCGGCCCGCTTCCACCGAGCCGGTAGTGGTGACGATATGATTATTTTATATACAGTCAGTTATCCTAAATAATTGTCACATGACCATCAAGCCACGCCCACAGAACCAGTAGTAAAAAATTTTAGAACCCACCCCTGGATGCCCACTAAGGATAAGTTAGGCTGAGACCAAACAGGTTAGGAGCCTTCAAGGTATGGCAGGAAAAAGTTTTAAGGGACTGGGCTGTACCGATACCAAAAATGACCCCACCCTGTTTCTGCAAAACAGAGCCGCAAAAGGCGAGGTGAGATGGACCGAAAGCGTGCAAGTACAACGTCCTCCTTTAGCTCGAGGACCGGTTTCTCGTTCACCTTGAAGCTTTTTTTCCTCGCTATTTACACGACACAGCTTCTTAAGCCATCCATAGCAGAGGCATATACAGAGCAAGAAAGTCCCCGATCTTCAAAATAAAGAGAGAGAGTGAATTCGCTTTCCCGTCCCGTGAAAATGGGTGTCCTTTTAATCTTTAGGGCGATTAGGTCTGGATAGCAAATAACCAGTCGACCACTAGATGGCAGCCGGCTCTTTTTTTGCTTTCTAGGAGCCGCTCAAATTTGCGCGGCTCCGACCTGTTAAATTTTAACCTGAAAAGTTGTCGCCAATGCCAATACTGTACTTTTACTCAGCAGACCGGAGGATAGTGCCTAAAACTCTTGTTCCAAGTACCTCACGACCGCGACGGATTGATTTTCCGGGAGAAGCCCGCCCTGAGTTCTCCGGGAGAAGAGCGGCATAGAAGTCTAATTATAAATAAATAAATAAATAAGGTTTGTCCTGCGCCATTTATAATCGTACCGAATCTTTCACTGCTGCTTCCCATTCTGGTTTTTATACGTCGGGATAGGATACCTCAGCATCCACCCGTATATATTAAATGGCTCGTGTATTAAATGGCTCGTGGCCGTATCTGACCTTTTTATCTAAGCAGAAAGCGTCTATGGAGATTCTGTCTTCCAGATCATGGTTGTCCCAAAGATGCTTCCCCCCCCCGCGCCCCCCCAAGAGGCAACTGGACTTTCCGGTTTTTCTTTGAAGACGTTGAAGAGTTAAAGCAGCTTCTTGGATGAGAAGGGAAACGTCTTCAAAGCAAAACCAGAAAATCCAGTTCCCTCTTGAAAGGTGTGGGGGGGGGGAGGAGAGCAACTTTGGGACTAAGCAGAGAGCATGTAGCCAACCCAAGTAAGAACTATCAGGACATAAATCCTAAAGCATTACGTATTGCCAAGAGACAGACTCACAGCAGATTAACTCTGCTCATATACCATAGTTGGTTCACTGGATATATTGCGATCGGCTGGGCCAATGCACTAAATGTCTAAAACATCTTACAAATCGTAAAAATAGAGGGCGGGCCCAATTGTTATGGAGCCTGCCTGCAGTTAGCCGTTTCTTTTTCTGGCTGCCACCTTCCATTTGCATCTTAACACAATAGTTAACGTAATAACTGATCCAAGCAGCAGCTGCCCTCTTTATGCTTCATTGCACTCAACGGAAATGTTGAACTACCAGGTAGGCGAAGAATTCTGTACTTCCTTTTTCTATTTATTTGCAAGCTCATATTGCTCCATTAATTTACGGTTAGGCAAATTTTTAAAATACTATTAATAAAAATCTAGGCTACATCACTGAAACATAACCCAGCCCAAATGGAAACACTGGTAGGCAATCGCTGAAAATCACCATTAAAAAGCTTAGTTCTGGATTTGTGCTTTGATTGTTGCAAAATTGTTCAAATGCCAGTGAAAAGTTCATTCGGAGGTAAGTTGTAATGCGATTATTAAGCTGTTTAGTTTAAAAACATTGTTTATAACAGCTTATCATCTTTAAAATGCTGTCTTTTCTTGACAATTACTGGAACATGCAAAACCTTCCAGCAGCAAAGGCTGCTGGAAGGCAAAATCACAAAATTCTGCCTCAGCCATCTCATTATGAAATCAAAATCGCTTGGGAAAAGCAGGAATGACTAGACACCATCAAAGATAACATCAGCCAGAGCATAAACTGAAAGCTGTACAAAATCAGAGAATGTGAAGAACTTGGTCCATAGAATTGTTGAATCAGGCATGATTGAACCAATAGCAGTATCACCTTTAATAATGCAATCAGACCCAAACCCAAAAGATAAAGGACTCTACCACCGATTGCACATGCCTTGCAATGTACTAAAGTAAAAGAAGACAAATCACATTTCTTTAGTCTTACCATAAAAGATAAAAAATACATTGTAAAATATAGTGTCCTTTGGAAAAGGTGGGCTTTGCATTAAGGACTCTTTGACTAGGGGGGCGGGGGTGGGGCTTCCAATATGTAAAACTAGTTGAAAGATAGAATATGGTCGTTATAGTTTTGACCCCTGTAAAATAGTACAATTTAGTACAAGCTTGGCCAACTACTTTTATTACATGAATATCAGTCTTGAAAAAGCTTGGCACAAGTGCTGTATTTCTCACTGGATCTATATTCATAGAGCACATTAAATCAGAAGCTAGGTTAGCAAACTGATTTATTAAACTGTGCCGTATTAAATTCAAACTACTCGCACAACTGTGTCACTTGGCTCAATTGAAATGACCTATGACCTTCATTTCAAATCAGAGCACTTAAAATTACCTAAACAGCTTTATCCTAGCCATGACAGTTCTATTTTCATTTCCAAGTATTCCATGTAATTAGTTACAGTAAAATACCATTTACCTAAGGATTCCTTATCTTCACTCAGGGCTGGCTGTAGTAAGCCAAGATGGCATCTGTTACATCTATTATGTTGACAATTTTATACCATTACTTCATGAACCTTTTATTACCTGCAAAGTACCATGCCAAGTATCAAATATTAAGTAGAAATTGTAGAATGTATTACATCTAAGTGCAAACCCATGTAAAACGGAGCTCTCCCAGCTTTGAAAGAAAAACACAGATTTTTTTTAAAAAAGTTTTATTATGAGTTTTGACCAGTATGTTTGGAAATATGGCCAAGGCAGCAAACAAATATTTGGGAATCATTCCCAAAACCTGAAATAAAGCTTTATTTACAGCTGGTGTAAAGCTCAATTAACCAATTTAAAACATTTAACATCCCAAATTTCAATTACTAAGAGTATATTGAGAAAATGTTCAGAATTAGAATTTTTTTTAAATACAAAAAAATTAGTTTCTTCAAAGAACTCTAGCAATATACATTAAGCTACACACTTCTGATTTAATGAAGTGAGCAAGAAAAAGATTATCAAAAAGAGAATACAATTAGTTCAGTAACTTTCTGATGGTCCACATTTACAAAGTTGTTACAACCCTCCCCTCCCCTGGTTCAGTCCTTCTTTCCCAAAAGTCACATACTTACCACAACTATTAGCAAGTATGGTTTTAAAAGTTCAAAGGCAACAATTCAGTTGCCACTATCTACAGATCTTGACCTTGAGCGTGATCTCTGGCGATCCACAGAAGCAGGAGACTTTGATCTACTGGAAGAAGCACGTTTCTGACTCTTTTCAGGGGCAGGAGATCGACTAACAGATTTTGATTTGCTACGGCTCCTGCTCCTGGATCTGGTGTAAGACTTGCGGCTTCTTGATCGAGAACGGCTACGGGATCTTGAAGAACTCCTGCTACGGGAGCGAGACCTGCTTCTAGACCTACTAAAAAGATAAATATCCATGTTAGGTTAGGTTTATACTGACCACAACTGTGTATACACAAGCATATCTTAGCTGAGTTCTTACCTGTGCCTTTTGCTGCCCTCGATTAGTTTGATTTTCCTTCCATTGATTTCCTTGCCAGAAAGTTTTTCAATGGCATTCTTTAAATCACTATAAGAGGCAAACTCAACCACCCTAATTAAAAAAAGAAATACAGCTTATAAATTAAATTATCAACGTTTAAACTTCCCCCAAAAATCTACTTTGGAGATTCCTTCTCCCAAGTTATCTTTTGCAACATATTACAATGGTTCCAAAATACTTACCCTTCATTTAATTTGGGCCTGTGTGCATCTGCAAATGTTACTTCCCCAGCTTGTCTCATGAAGTCTTTGAGATCCTATCACAAGATTAAATATGTTAGATAAAGGAAGTAGACAATGTTTTATCAATTAATAAAAATTATTACTGCAAAAAAAGATGTTAACAATTAAAACGTGGCAGATGCCACACTTGTAGATAATTCCGTATTTGATACAATATATCAGGGCACGAAATAAATGAAAACAGCATATTGCTTTAAGCAAAATGCTCAAATCTAAAAGTTATTTGTTTATACATTTTACACAACTGAATGCAAGACAGTTTACTTGTATGAAAGCATTCTGAAATGTCTTACAACTAAACAGCACATTTACAAAACAAAAACCAGTTATTTTGTGCCCCATATGTCATTAAAAATATAGTTTACTTTACCTTCATTAACATTTCCCTAGGCTAGCCAAGCAGCAAACTGCATTAAGCGATCGAAGATACCACCACGGTACATGCCCGACTGGCTCTTCGCCAACCATTTGAAGAGAACTACCCAGTCGATGGAAGCCTTTAATCGCACAGCCCTCCCTATTAGCAGACTACTGTCGGATCCAGACATTCTCTAATCTTGTGAAGTTACACCAAGGATCACTTTACTGCGATCAGGATTCCAAGGACCACCTAATTCGTATCTTTCAAATCTCTCGATCACGATCTCTTATTTCGAAGCGTTAGAGGAGGTACAGTTCTCAACTTAGGAATCAGATCTCGTTAACTTTCGGGGATCGCTGCAACCCGGCACTTTAAGGAAGTGCATCGATTACGTCTAGACCGGCAAACACAGATCTAGAGGTGGCCAACTGATACACTGGAGGAGCTGACTGGAAAAGTCAACCAGGCCCAACCAAGAGTGACCAAGACAGAACGATTAGGATAACCCACAGGCACTCCTCGTCATAAGGCCAACGACACAGATAGGCTGGCAAATAAAATGGATTTTTAAAGTGGTTAAAATGGATTTTTAAAACAAGGTAAAATTACATTAAAATACTATTAAACTACTTTTGAACAATGCATTTAAACATTAATTAATAATTTTGAAAAATGTTTTAAATTTAAGATAAAAATTAGTCTTTAATAAAAAATTTATATATTACATACCCATTAAACGAAGTCTAAGATAATCATGTTTAACAAACCTGCCAGCTGACTCGAGAAGACAAATTTTCTACAATGAGACGATTTTCTGTTCTTACAGGTGGTGCATTTCTAGCAAAAACAAAATGTTCAGTTCATTAGTTATGCCTACAGAAAGTTAAACTGAGCATCACCTGTGTTCCTTGCATAGTATTTACCTTCTGTCATTTCGTGGACGGCGGCTGCTAAAACGATCAGAATAACGCCCTCTACCTCTTCCACCTCTAGAGCGGGCTCTAGCATGTTCGATTGTAACTCTAGAAAGCAAAATAATTACATCTATTTATAATACAACAGTCCATTCCATCTACGAGTCATTAATAGAATACTAATTATGACTCCTTCCAGTTTCAGACAAAGTAGGCCAACCTGAACATACTGAACATAAATGTGTTTTAGCACTGCTATTGTCAAGCATACAATAAAACATGTACAAAGTATCCAAATGCAATCAAAGGGTTATGAAATGTTACCTTTCACTGCAGAGTTCTTTTCCATCCAATTCATAGACTGCATCATCAGCATCTCTGGGATCTTCAAACTCCTGTTAAATAACAAAATAACGCATCGGTGATTTACTGAATGGCATCTCTGGTTAGTTTCAAGTTTCTTAAAGGCACAGAACAGCAGCCGCTTCATTTGTATTTTGGTCCATTGAATTTATTCCAAATCCCAACTCCCTTTGTGAGGAAAATCATTATTTTATTGTAACTTTATTATATTATATTATAATATATATATATATATATAAATGTATATATATTATAATTAATGCATTGTAACTTTTTTTTTACTTACTATCAGTTCTACATATTACAAAGTGTATTGCCACTGCAAAGATCATTCTTACATACTTAAAAAGACTGACGGGTCTGAAGTGGCTACCAAAACCACCTTAGGTCCTTTTCCCCATAGGAAGTAATCACTCTCATCGCTACGAAGTGCTGCTTGAACGAAGCACTATTATTATTATTATTTTTTACCGCTTACCACAAATCCAAAACCTCTCTTCAAATCAATGTCTCGGATGCGTCCATATCCCTTGAAGAATCTCTCCACATCCTTCTCTCTGGCGGCTGGATTTAGCCTTCCGATGAATACACGACAACCACTCATGGTACCGTTTTAGAGTAGCTGCAGAAGGGAAAAAATTAAAAGAAAAAAAAATTAACGTAAAAATTCAAGTCGGCAGTCAAAAAAAGAAAAAAAAAAAGATGGCCGCCGCCCAAAAGGCTCAGCAGCAGCAGCTGCTGGCAACGCCGGCTCGATTCATTGCCGCAGTACCTCCTCCGCCCTCGGTTGCCGCAGTCTGACATCAGGGAAGGCAGAACCCACGCAGGGCCCATCGCCCCGCCCCCGCCAGCCCCGCCCCGCCCCTCGTTCCAACCAGCCACCGAGTTCAGCCTCCCATCGTCCAACTGGAAAACGCCACCACGGTTCCGCCTTTTCTCCAGGCAGCCTAAGCAGCCAACGCGAAGTTACGGAGAGCTGCGCATGCGAGTTGCACACGACCGCCCATCCATCCTAGCCCTTTTGAGTGCTTTCACGAAATGGCGGCGCCGCCGCACCCCAATGTTCCAGGCCAATGTTACCTCTCCTGGCTTTTTCTGTTAAGAGGAAATGTAATCACTCACACACGCACACCGCAGACGGTTCAAAGTACGTTTAAAGCTCCTCTCCCACTTAATCAGACTTATACAATGCAACCGTCTCTCTCTCCCCCGCCCCCGCAACTGCTCTTCTAGATCGCCTATTAAATTTGAATAGACAGGCACTTACGATCGTCTGTTCTCGGGGTTTGTTTGTTTTTTTTTTAAAAAAAGTGCAGGTGTCAACGGACAAAGATGAGTTGACAACCGCCCCCGACGACGTCCTCGCCTCGACTGGGTAGGTCGAGCGTTAACTACGCCACAAAATGGAACCTCGTCCCATGTGATCGCGGAGGCACGTGATGTGCTTGTAGTTCAGTGATAGGTGGAAAGCAAAGTGGGGGAATGAGGTGGGGGGAGGGCTCCGGTTTGACTGAGACAGGGAAAAAAAGTGCAATGCTTCGAAGTAGTTGGGCGCATGCGCAATATTCTATTTCCTCCCTTCCCCTTTTATGTATTTTATAGTCTGCCAAAACTACAAAAGAGGGTCCCAAAGGTGCTTTTTTTCCCCAAGAGGCAGCTGGACTTCCTATTTTTTCTTCGAAGACGTTTCGCTTCTCATCCAAGAAGCTTCTTCAAGCTCTGGATGGATGGTGGGGAATGGAAGGAATCCAGCCAGAGCTGAAGAAGCTTCTTGGATGAGAAGCGAAACGTCTTCGAAGAAGAAAAAAAAAACCAGAAAGTCCAGCTGCCTCTTGAAAAAGCACTTTTGGGACAACCATTGAGATTTACAAAAGAGGGCAGTGAGGCCGTATTACGTAAGGGACAAGATTAAGCGGGTGCTGGTGGTGATGATGATGAATCGGGGCTCACGAGATGGCAGCAAAGTAGCTGTGGTCCGGATTGTTGCAGCTCATACGTTGTAGCTCCAAGAGAGGACGGTGGGGGGGGGGGGGGAGGGTTGTCACGTAGTACATAACGTTCAAAACACCTTTCCGTAACTCCTTTTTTGCCACCATTGTGTCTTTACCTGGGCTTTAATCTCGCCAAGTACATCTGTGCATCCGAACTAGACTGGGTTGATTCTCTGTGCCGTATATGTGGCTATATGCAGAATTGTGTCTGCATTTCGTCATGTTTATGTAGCGTATATTGGAGGGGGTGACCCTTCCAGAGCTGGGATGCAACGAAATTTCATTTTAATGTCTGCCGATTAGCGCACATTCAAAGTGACAATAAAGTTATTCAAAGTCTAAATTTAGTGGAGTGGATGCCGCTGCAGCCTTCTGTAGCGATCGAACGAACAAGCAAGCGGAGGCTTGTTTTCTTTTCTACCTGAAACGGAGGCGCTCAGCCTCTCGTCCTCCTTCCCTTCACCGCCCCGCTGGCCTGCGTGCGACCCGGTTTCCCAGGGTTACAGGGAGGCCGGCTCGGCCGCCCTTCTCTCGACCTGCTTTCCTACAACCTCGGCTGATTTCCCAAACTGCGCGGGACGGGGAGGAGGGTGCCCAAAGCGCCGAGGATCTTTCGGGGGTCTGAAAAACCTGGAGCTGAAAGCGAGGAAGGGGCTGCAGATTGTGCGAGGCCGCCTCTCTGCGCGGAGCCAGGGGGATTCGCCTTATGGCAGTATTTCTCAACCTTGGTAGCTTGAAGATGGGTGGACTTCAACTCCCAGAATCCCCCAGCCAGCGCTGCTGGCTGGGGGATTCTGGGAGTTGAAGTTCACCCATCTTCAAGCTACCAAGGTTGAGAAACACTGCCTTATGGGTTGTTGAGTACGGGATGCTCCATCGGTTCCCCACCTCAACAAGGCTTTGTTTTTCAGCATTTGGGCGGAGTCGAGGGGTAAAGTGAGGACTCCAGAGCCCCGGGCTGTTTTATGCCAGCCTTCCTCGCCAACTCTTTTTAACCAGGATTTTTTCAATCCCTTCTAATACTCCGGGTTAAGGTGACCAGATTTTAACGTTGGTAAAGAGGGACATTGTGGGCGTGGCTTATTTTGTGGGCGTGGCTAGCTGGTCATGTGACTGGGTGGGCGTGGCTAGCTGGTCATGTGACCGGGTGGCCATGGCTATGTGTATAGGGTAAGGTGAACAGATTTTAACATTGGTAAGAGGGACACCATTGTGGGCGTGGCTTATTGTGTGGGCGTGGCTTGGAGGCCATGTGACTGGGTGGGCGTGGCTAGCTGGTCATGTGACTGGGTGGCCATGGCTATGTGTATAGGGACTACTCAGAGGGCTGGAAAGTCATTTCTGACAGGTCCTCACACTTTTGACTGGTCCTCACACTTATGACCATCCTCACATTTATGCCCGTGCAGCATTCTTAACAACCATGTCACTCATTTCACAACTGCTTCTCTTCACCATGATGACAAGATAGGGCAAAAATGTAAAATGTGAGGACAGTCGTAAGTTCGAGGACTGGTCAAAAGTGCGAGGACCAGTCAAAAATAACTTTTTCAGCCCTCTGAGTAGTCCATATGCATAAAAGGATACAGTAATTGAGAGGGATGAAGGAAGGGAAGGGAAATTAGAGTAGGAGAGACGGTTAAGAGAGGGAGGAAGAGAGGAGGAGAAGGAGAAAGGAAGAGGAAGTAGGGAGGAGAAGAAGAGGGGGGGAAGAGAAAGTAAGAAGGAAAGAAAAGAGAGGTGGTAGGTTTGAGGAGAAAGATTGCTGTACAATAAAAAAGATGAAAGGGAAGAAAGCCAACCCCAAACAAATATAAAGATATTAAGATAAAGAATGAATTGTTAAACTTTAAAGAATAAAAGAGAACAAATATGAATAAATAGCAATAATTAGAAACACACATACATACAATGTATTTTCTTTGAACAGAATATTTGGCTGGTTCACAAATTTAAACAGTGTTTAGTCATTTCAATTAAATTTACAATTTCTATATTTCCTTTTTGCCATATTTATTCCTCATCTATTTTTTAAAAAAAACAATATTACCCTTCATCCTCATCTCTAATCTTAATCAAATTCAATTTTTCCCTTCTATTCTATTTTATACCCCTTCCCATTGTCATCTATTTTTATATCCATCCTCACATTGGTTAATTATGTAATTATGTAATACAGTTGTTTAATACAAATTCAACATTTTAATATAAATCAATTAGTTATATAACTATCTTTTTTGTATATTAATCAATATGAACATGAATATTCCAATTATTTCCATGCAATCCAATTTCTTACAAATCAATTAATTATACTTACCAATAATAATAAACCAAATAATTTCCCCCATATATTCCTCCAAACCACAACTTAACCATTTCTGCTTTCAACACAGTATACAATTAATAATATCTCAATTATTACAATTCCCTAGTTAAAAAGAGCTTTTTTTTCTTTTGTGTTTTAAAATCTTGAACTCTCCTCTTTTGCCCTAAATAATTTTCCATTGTTTGCACTTACCTTTTTTGGTGAGGAAAAGGAAAATAAATCTGCTGCCTAATTTTCCAACGTTGCAAGCAAACCGCAAAGCCAACAGCCTGTTTTACTTCCAGTTTCGTTTTGAGCTTGGTTTGCACAAAGAGGAAAAAAAAAAACTGAGCAATTTAGCAAGAGCAGAGCCCTGTGCAAATCAGCTGAGAGGGGAAAGCCGAGCTAATTAACGTAGGGCGGCCCTTTGAAGCCCCGCGGCAAGAGTTTAAACAGGTTTTTTCCCTCTAGCCATCAGCGGGGATTCAGGAGGCAGCCGGGAACCAGGAGGCAGAATGAAAAATCGGGACTTTTTTAAAACGCCGCGGGACGCGGGACAAATTGCTCAAAAGCGGGACTGTCCCGCCAAAAGCGGGACGTCTGGTCACCTTACTCTGGGTGTTAGTACTTATTGTAGTAGATGACAAATTTCTCTAGTCGGTTTCATAACTCGTAGGTTTTCTAATTTATTTTTAATATGCCTTTTGATTGCCTGATTAGTTTCACAGTTAGACAAGGGGACTGCAGGATCCATCCTTAACCTCCTTATTATTGGTACACTGTATGGCAGTGATGGCTAACCTTTTTGCCATCGCGTGCCAAAAGCGGGGAGAGCGCGAGGGGGGGGTCATGCGTGCGTGTACCCACACACAGTGGGTGCACCCTGCCCCCCCGCATACGCATGTGACCCCCTGCACTCCCCCTGCTTTTGGCACGCAATGGCACGGTGAGCCATAGGCCCGTTTTTTGCCCTCTCCAGGCGCCAGAGGCTTTCTTGGAGCCTGGGGAGGGCAAAAACAGCTTTCCTCACCCCCCTAGAGGCCCTCTGGAGGCAGGAAACGGCCCATTTCCCGACTTCCGGTGGGCCGAGAAGGCCCGAAGATCAGTTGGCTGGCTCGCGCATGCGTGCCATAACTAAGCTAGGGCAATGTTCACGTGCCCACCGATATGGCTCAGCGTGCCACCTGTGGCACGCGTGCCATAGGTTCGCCATCACGGCTGTATGGGATTAGAGAAGATTTAGTCCTGTTCCTTATTAATTTTAAAAAGCAGACAGTTTGTATGAAAATGCAAAAGGGTTTTATTATTCCTGTGTATGTTTTTAATTTTTAAAATTTAGCACTGTTATGGAATGATGAGACCAAACAACATTCCTGGTCAGCCAGAGACAGTTTATTGCGCAGTTTCAGAATCAGATTTGTATCTGCAATTCTGAACAAAGAAGAGCTCTGATACAATTGCTTTTTATACTTTAACATGACAAAGGATTTGATGTGAGCACAGCAGCTTTCCATATATGGTTAACATATATTTGTTAGGTGATGGTTGATACTTTCATCCGTTTTCCATATTACTAAATTCATACATTAATTTCTAATACATGAGATCATCTTAGCTAAACATCCTTTATTAATTTTGTGATTGCTGATGCGTAGATTAATGGCTGCTTTGGTTAATAAGTGACTCTTGCTTCATATGGATTTCCTTGCAACCGTGACAGCTTGGTCTCTCAGACGTTATGTATTAACAAAAATGGAATTTAGCTGACTTGGTGAAATCTCCAAACAAGCATATTTCTTTCTTATGATTAGGAGATAAAGAGGGCCCTTCAATGTTCATGTAGCTGACCCTGTATTATCCCCACATTAGCACCAGTAAGATTGCAGCCTTATAGCCACATCAGTATACCCTCAGTCTTGGTTCACATGTTGCTAAACTATAATGGGATTTGATTTTAGATTCATATATGTGAAAATCTCCAGTTATAATCTGTGAACCAAGCCATGATCAGTTCCTTAACTAATTTTAATATTAGTATTTAGTATTATGAACAAAATGATGGATTTTTAAAGAATAGTAATTAACTGTATAAACAAACTGAGGCCTCTATGCTATGAAATTTACACATTACATTTTCAACTTTTATGGGTGTAGGAAGAAATATCCTTCTGGGTTCAGCTCCAAGTGGGGAAAAAGACATTGGAAACATGGAGACTGCTTGGAAAGATGGTTTAATGGTGGACAGGATCACATGGTTTGAGTTCCTGAACAGAAAAGGGGCGAGACGCAGTGCGTCCCCGGGTTTATGCCCTCTCTGGCTTTGAACTTCCTGGGGCCCAGAAAGAGTATCCTAATTGGTTGTCAGACTCCCAGGGGGTGGGGGTTTTAGCTAGCCTTGCTGGCTGATATAATCTTCCCAGGTGCCATGTGGTGAGTTTCTGTTGCTAGATGGGTTCTATTGTGTTGCAGATGATGGTCCATTGACAAAGATTGAGTTTCTGCCTCTGGCCCATTGACAAAGAGTGGAGTCAGGAAGATGGGAGCTGTTTCGTCTTTAAAACTTGCTGTTCCATTTCTCATCCAGGGAAACATAATATTCTGCCTTTTTAATATTTCCCAAAATATTTCATTCCTCTAGGAAAGGGGTGGGTACTAACTTCCTACATGGGGAACTACTGTACTGTATTTATTAGTAAAGAATTTGAATGTGTTTTTGCAATACAGACAGATTACTTTCAGATTTTATTTTGCTCTCACTATGTCAATGGTTTAACTTTCATCTCTACAATTATAAATTCTAATTTATTAACAAACTAAGGCTTTGAGGAAATGTCTTGAAACTGATAATTCTCTAATTCAATTTCCTCTAATGTGTTTGTACTAATCTTCTAAAGAAACTCTTGAGTTGGAAATCCATCTTTACTGTATAAGATACAATTCTGATTGGTGTATTTATATATGCTTTATGGAGATTCTCAATCATCCAGGTTATGGTTGTCCCAAAGGTGCTTTTTTTCCCTAAAAGGTAACTGAACTTTGTTTGTTTTTTCTTTGAAAGCATTTTGCTTCTCATTGAAGAAGTTTCTTCAGTTCTAATTGAAAGGTGGAGAATGGAAGAATTCATAATATTTGCAGTTATCCGATCATTAGCTCTCTGAGAGTCAGTTGAGACCACTTGGGGTTTATCTGTGCCCTCAAGGTCATCTGAATCAGAGTACAAATGGGTGAGGAACCTTCTTGGGACTGCTGTAAGGACTGTATTGTAGACAAGAGGTAGGTGGTGTCATATCCTCCCCCTCCCTTGAGAGACAGTTTTTCAATTTTAATATGATGGTCTCTTTGACCCCACTTTCAAACCAGTGGTCCTCTCTGTCCAGAATGTGAAATTGCTGTCTTCAAAAGAGTGACCTTTGTCTTTCAGATGCAGATGGACTCCTGAATCCTGTCCTGAAAAGTTTATTCTCCTACCGTGTTTCCCCAAAAATTAAGGCCCTGTCTTATATTTTTTTGAACCCTGAAATAAGTGCTTGGCCTTTTTTTTTTTTTTTAATTTGATTTATATGCCGCCCTTCTCCGGAGACTCAGGGCGGCTTACAATGCGTTAAGCAATAGCCTTCATACTTTTGTATATTTATACAAAGTCAGCTTATTGCCCCCACAAGCTGGATCCTCAATTTACCTACCTTAGAAAGGATGGAAGGCTGAGTCAACCTTGAGCCTGGTGAGATTCGAACTTACAGTAATTGCAGACAGCTGGTGTTAATCACAATGCTATCAGTCTGCTGAGCCACCAGGCCTTATTGCCATGCACTCAAAAGCTCAATTGGGTTTATTATCAAGGGATGTCTTATTATGGGGAAAACAAGGTATGTGGTGCCTTGCATTTGTGAAGTGTTTGTTTTGTTTCCCTAGTATATGGATCTGCGTGTTTCTCACATTGCGCTGCATATATCATCTGCTTTATGTTGTAAACTGATACTAATCTTCATATATAAAAGCATTTAAGAGACTTTTTTTTATCCACAAAAGTATATGCTGTAATAAATGTGTTAGGCTTTCAAGAGAATAACACAGTCAAAGCTTGGATAAGTGGGCTACCAATTATAAATAAGACTCTTGGGATAAAACTCTTTTTGTAAATGTGATAAGCACTTAAATAGTTGTTTGTTGTGGAATGGTTTGGGTCCTGTTGCTAAGAAGTTGTCAGGAACAATTGGAGTTTAAATAAATATTTGGCGCACTTTTAAGTTGTCATTTAAGTAACTTAAGTATAAAAGTATAATTTTGGACTCCTCCACTAGAGATGGTAATTTAGACTGATTTGATATTTAAACCAAAACCAGAATAACCATCATATGGCAAAGAATATCAAAGTTTAACGTTCTGGTGGCTAATAGACCAAAGAAAGGAGAAATTACTCTAACCTCTCTAAAAAATACCCACTTGAGGTATTTTTTTAGGTAGATGTTCAAACAGATGAGTTACTTTTTATGCATAATTTTAGTTACACATTTGTCCTTTCAGGCCTTGATTTTTTATTATAGCCTAGCTAAAGTAATTACCAACTCTATCCAACTTACCTAACTGCTCCATTTGGGTACTTATATAACTTTTCATAAATTGGAATTGGACCGATTCTCTTCCTCCCAAAAACCCTACAATTCAGTTAAGAGAGAAACAACATAAAAATTACAACAGAAATATCTATTCACAAGGTAAATATACTAGCATGAAAAAGCCTTGCCTTGTGGAAATGCAGCTCCTATTACAATCTCATTCCACAATATTCACCCACATATATTAGTTTGTATTGCCTAAGTAATGTAAATTGTTATGCATCTTGAACATTTTTTATATGGGTTATGGAGACATTTGCATCAAATTAGATTTATGTAAGTCAGCTCTTACGTAATCTGGACCATCCTTACTGGCTAACACAAAAATGTTTGAATGAAAATCCCCCTGCACAAGAAAAAAAAAACGCTATGAAGTTAGTGACATCCAGTTCATGGAACTAATTACCTCCATGACAGAGAATGCTTTTGTAATATCTTTAGATTTTAATTCCAATGTGACAAAGTCCTATCTTTTTTTCCTTATGTTATTTTATAAAACAACATACATATTGATTGTGAAATAATCATATACCGACAACATTAGGATTGTTTACAAGCTGTGAAAGCTGTTTCCTTTCAAGATAGGAAAGGTGTTTTGAATCCAACATTAAGATACTTTCTATACCAATTAAAGGTATGAAAACAATTTCAGGTTGCATACTGGTCGTGCCCATTTCTGAACTGAGAGTGTCTGCTCACTGTCACTGTCCTCATTGGCTTCCATTTGGACTATTGCATTCTACATGGGGCTGTCCTTGAAGAACATTCGTAAGCTTCAGCTGGTACAGAATGTAGTTGCAAGTATAAACGCCTTGAGTTATTTGTAAAAAAACAGGAAAGACAGGAAATAAACAAATGGTGTTGGCTATTGGGCACGTGTAACACCACCACTTCAGGGACTGCATTTGAATGCCAGTGTGTTTCCAGGTGCAATTCAAGGTGCTGGTTGTCACCTTTAAAGCCCTCCCTAGCTTGGGACCAGGCTACATGAGAGGCCATCTTTTTCTAGTTGTCTCTATCTGTCCAATCCTGTATGCCAGGATGGGCATAGAACATATCCAATCTGCAAGAAATGTTGGTTAGCAGGGACCAGGAGACATGCCTTTTCTGTCATAGCCCCTGATCTCTGGAACATCCTTCCTCATGAGATTAGGATGGCCCCAACCCTATTGATCTTTCAGAAGTCCTTGAAGAATACCTGGCTATGTGCCCAGGTCTCAGATCCTGAGTGTAAAAGGTCCCGTTTTCTGGTTTGTTGACAGATTATAGCATCTCTTGGCTGCTGTATGTATGTACAGTATGTATGTATGTATGTATGTATTTATTTAGTAAGGGGTTTTAATTGTTTTAATGATAGCTTGCTACCTAGAGTCACCGATTTGAGAGGTAGCTATAAATAAATCTCAAACCCCTTAACTCAAACACAGGTTTTCCTGGAACCTAGGGGTTATCATGCAAACCGAGTAAAAGATGAAGCTTTAAAGAATCGTTCATGAGTTCTGCAAATACATACGGTACACATTGCATTTGAAGCAACTTTCCTACTTCAGATTCAACTAATTGCACATCAAATGCAGAATATGTAAAGATGCAGGCATTAATTATCAATGAGCAATTAGTAAAGCCAAATTATTTCTTAAGAGTACCCTTCTGTCATGTTGTTACACTTCATGTTCGCACATCATCGAACTCCTTATTTTCCTTGTTTATTTTTTTAGTTCTCTCCTTGGGTTAACTGCTATCTGCTTATCTTTGATTCAGCAGAAAAATACAGTGATGTGAAATTTGCTGTCTCCCTTGCCAGTTCCAATTCTGCCTCTGTTGCTGGCCTTCTCGCATAAGTAATGAATGACAGCTAATGGATTTTATACACCTTCAAGCTGCTTTGGACAGCGTCCAAATAAGGGAGGAAGGGAAATGTTACTTTAAAATTGGACTAACTAAGGATGACTTAAGTTATTTCATTCACAGGTGGGTATGAAATTAAGGTAATTTCTTGGGAGTGTGGCAGGGAAACGAAGCTACCAGAATATGCTTGAATCTTAATTAAGTGAAATGAGGAAATATCCATACAGATAGAGGGCATCTATTACTGTGTTTCGCTATTTTATAGCTTGTACCATTAGAGAATTCTTTATATTGAGCCTGTATCTCCATTCATTTAATTTCAACTTTTTAGCCCATCTCTTTTCAAAAGAAAACAGGCCCACCTCCTCTTGCACACATAGCCTTAAACTGCTATCATATTTCCTCATAGTTGCTTTTTTTGCAAGCTAAACATGCTTAGGTCATCAATCATTCCTCTTACCCTAGGCCTAGGCCTTGTTTTCCAGGTCCTCTTAGATTGTCCAATTGTCAGTGCCCAGAGCAAGGCAGAGTTCTTCAAGTGCAGACTAGGCACTTGACAAAGAACAATGGAACTTTAGCTTGTCTGATCTGGATATAGCCCGACAACGCATGGTCCTTTTAAACATGTATACCAGGCTTGCTCACTTTCACTTGGTAGCCCACTTAGACTCCTTTCACATGTGTTAAAACCAGGGTGGATTTGATTTAAATCGAGTTGATTTAAATCACAATTTAAATCATGATTTAAATCACTAGTAAAAAGGCTTGATTTAAATCAACTCGATTTAAATCATAATTTTTAAAGAGCAACTGTCATCTCTGCTACTCCTTTGACCCACTGTTGACTCACCGATAGTCCCAGTGTTGCAGTGTTGCATGCTACATAACTAAGCTCCATTTCATGCTGAATAAACTAAATTATTTATGTATCTTAAATAGAAAACTATCTTACGATAGATTTTTACCCCAAAAGTTTTTATTAAAATAAATTCAATAAAAATAAAAAAAAATCCGATTTAAATCAAAAAAATCTGATTTTTTTGATTTTTTTAAAAAAATCATTGATTTTTATCCACCCTGGTTAAAACCAAGCCAGGTCTCCTCAGTTTTTCAGTTGTACATTTGATTTTTCCTAATCAGAAGTAGGCCGTCACTATTGCTACAACCTACTAAATGTGGCCCAATGTCAAAAACTTGTTTAGGTCATTTTGAATTGAGATTTTATCCTCACTATTTTCCAATTTTCTTAGTTTAATGCCATAATGAATTTGTTAACCATCCTTTCTTCTAGGTTTTTTATATGCAAGTTCAACACTGAGCCAAAGGAGATCCCATACCTCTCCTTAGAAAAACTGTCCGAATGTCTGTCCAAAGTGGGCAGTTTTGGAGTAGCCTTTTGGATGTGGTTTTTCAGCTAGCTGAAAATCTACTAGAATACCTAGAAATAAATGTATGTTTTGGCAAGGTGAGTGATGTGTAATCTCAAAAATGTTAGCAAAAGAAGAATTGGTCCTGACAGACAATACCGAAACCTTTTTCATAGAGCTTGTTCTATTAAGGGATCAATGAGATTGTTTCAGTCCAGTTTGCAGTGTTCCCTTGGGTCTAACCAGCTAGAGGGACACAATGACTGATATATTGTAGATGTGTTTGTCCACAGGCTGTGAGTGCATCTGACTACCTCTTTAAGGAAAGATTCACTTTCTTGTAATAGGTTTGGAAATGGATCCCAAATGAGGGATACCATTTTGAGACAAGCTGGAGTACCAGCTGCTCCAGGGCCTAGCCTGGAAAAACAACAAGAGATCTCTGCCCCAAGGGGTTTGCTACAGTGCATATTGATTGCACAGTGTGTGTATGTTAGTTTCATAGGACATCTGAATTTCCTTTGAGTTGATTAATGATGTGGTGAAATTGTAATTTGCAACATTTTGTAGCTGGTGTGTGTGTTCCTTTCATATTAAAGTTATTTAAATGAGAGAATTGCCTTTAAGTTTCCTTTTCCCTTGATAGCTCTGTGCATTAATATGCAGCTGGAGCACTCACTGGAGTTCAAAGATCAGGTTAGCTCAGTACTGCAACACTTCACAATTTATTATCCCTTTCTTTGCTTGCTGTGTCACCATCTGCTGTACACAAAGCTACTGAAGAAATTATTGTGTACCTGTTTACATTTACTCCTTATCACCTTCTATAGAAATAATATATTTTAAGGTTGGATAAAAACTAAGTATAAAAGAGATATTAAAAGAAAAGAGTTAGAGCATGCTTAAAAAGTAATATGTAAGGATAGTGGTGCCTTCTGGCAAATTGTAATAAAAAGACTGAATATGGTATTTTGACGTATTACTGGCATTTTCACTACTAAAATTTATTGGGAAATGCTCAGTGTGTGCCCATTTTCAAAACATGGCACTCTTCTGAATTCAGTGGAGCATACATGTTCAGGTTTGAAACAAGATAATTTCATTGTACAATATTTTAAACAGATTGCAGTTTGAGAGGGAATATTTTAGGTTTTAACTGAAAGGTTCAGTTTTAAAGCAAGTATAAATGCAGAAATAGAATGCAAACCTTTTCCAACTCAGGCCAAGTTATAAGCCAAAGATATCTTCTATTCTAAGCAGTAGAAGGTGAATAAATAATATTCAATAAATAATTGAGTTTTCCTTAACTTGGTGCATATATCTGTTTATATTTGAGTAAATGCTCCATCTAAGCCAGAGTAAATGATTACTATAATGACGCTGCTCTTTGGAGATCAGATAGTTCTTGACTTACAACCGGTTGCTTAGCAACCATTATGATGGAACCCTCAAAAAGTACTTATGACCTGGTTCTGAAATTCCGACGACCACCCCTCCCACAGTGATATGACCGTATTTTGGGTATTTGGCAACTGGCTCATATTTACAGCCATTTGCAGTGTCCTATGGTGATATGACAGATTTATGATCTACGCTCATAAGTTAAGGACTACCTGTATAGAAATTTTAATTAGATTTAGGCACATCTTGATAATACCAGGTTTGGGCAAGATGTCTTAGAATTTGAAGTGAATAATAGGTAGAGAACTCCCATTTGTCATCTACAATTCTTCCTTGAAGCTATTGGGAACTTGCTGGCCATCTGTTGTTTTTTTGGTCATGTAGCAGGTATTTTATGCACTAAGACTAAGAATCTATGTGATCCAATAGAAATGACAAAATTATTGTAATATTTTAAGCATGAATAAATTGAAAATTTGCAGATTTTTGATTTTTTAAAAAATAAATATTACCTTTGATATTGAAAATGTAAAAACCACATCAAGGCATTGAATATGGTTGCTTTGACATTTTATTGGAAATTGATGTGATGTTACATTCTTATTATACTTAGATTCAGTCAGATAATCCATTTCTAGATGAGTTCAAAGTTTTTATCTTTAAGTCTTTCCAGATTTAGGACTAGGTTATAATGTTTGAAAGACTACTTGTTATCATTGATAATCATTTCTTAGAGCTAATGCTCAAGCTTCTAACAGTTTCTGATTCAATAAAAGTGTTAGTCTTTAAGAATCTATGGCAGGGCTGTCAAATTCCCAGTCTGTGGGCTGGATGTGTCACACGCTGGCCATGCCCATGCCTGGTTTAGCGAAGGGGGGAAAAGTCCTGATACGTCATGTGACGCCACTGTGACGATGTGAGTTTGACACCCCTGATCTATGGGATTGTTTGCAAAATCCTTAAAGCCTACACCATGGTGACTGGCTGCTGCTTTACTAGGCAGGAGAATAGTGGCCAGCTCCTATCTATATGAAAGGTAAACATGTACGAAGTTTACAGCACTCGGTCTTATTGCAAATGCAAGTTGTAGGAAGAGTAGAACAACCTCTATATTCCTTCAGATGCAAAGGAAAGTGTACAATGGTATTTACATGGTTATCTATTTGAAAAATTGCTTTATTTATTTCAAATGCTTTAGTTATTAATCTGCAGTGCATATGCAGTATTCTGTCCAGTATTAGTATTCTTATTTGGAAAACAATTTCATTTTTTTGCTAATGTTACCTGAACATACCTCTCAGCTTCATATTGCTTTGGACAACCTTCAGTCTCACTTTCAAGATTTCAATAGACTGATTCCAGTCTGCAGATGTTCCTTTTCATCTCTTGATTGACAAAAAAATTAAAGCTTTACTGAATTCTATACTTTCCTTCTTGCAGTACTACATTTCAACACTAGATGGTGATATTTAATTGTAGTCGCCTTGATATATTTGCAGAGGTAATGCATCAGCCACAATATGCTGCACAAGGTTCTTAGCTAGAGGATTCCAGTGGTATCCAAAATACAAAAACAGTCATAATAGTTTCCATCTTATATGCCTGGTGGTAAGGTTTGTGCATGTAAAACTTATAACAAGACTGTTGTAATTATTCTTGGAGAAGATGAACAGATACTGGAGACTTTTACTATAATAAATTACTAATAGTATCGCACCATTTACTTCCAGAAAGAGAAAAACAAACAAAGTGATAGGAATATTTCAAGCTGTAGTTATGCAACTAAGCCTTGTGAATAAGCTAATTTTGAACAAGACTAAGGGAAAGCAACTAGACAAATTAGTTGCTAGTAAACAGGAAAAACCAGCAGAGATCAAAGAAGTCCCTAAGAATCACAGGACTTACAAATATTGCAGTTCATTCATCTTTCTGTTCTTAGACATTAGTATAAAACTTTTATATATCTTTTTCCTTTCTCAAATTTCTTTTAGTCGAGTACCCATTTAACATTCTTCACCGTGATGTTGGCTTCTAAGATAAGGTTAATTAGTTGAATTTGTTTTTCCATGCCGACATTTCTGTACTTTCAGTTGTTATACAACTCCAAAGTATAATAGACATATGCCAGTGCTGGGTTGAAAAAATGTTGGGTATTTCAGGAAGAAAGATCCAACTATACCTTCAAATTAAATCATGAAGTACTAAGGAAAAAGAGATAGGTTTTAAAATGGACATCACAGATCCCAAGTTTAAATACTGAAAATGTCTGACATGCAACATACACAAAGAAATGTAAGAATATTTCAGAGCTAGAAGTGTTCTGGAAGGAAGAGTAAGGGGGGGAAAAAAGCAAAAATAGTAAGGCTTAGCTAGCTAAGAAATGCTTGGAAGCTATTAGAGGAGAGGTGACTAAAAGACCATCCAAATGTCTGTGTTTGACATTGTCACTGTTTTGAATCTGTAAACAGCTATACAGTAAGTATGCATTCAATGTGCAAAAAATAGTCATTCAATTTTGTACACTATAGTGTGTCACTTTCTGTTTAGTTAGGGATTTGTTTGTTTGACCAGAGACATCTAAACCTTTGTATATAATTGGATATGTGAGGCAAAAGGAGGCATAGGTCACCAAGGAAACGTTTGCTCTTTTTCCAGGTGACCTGGATGTGTAAAGATGTCAGGAAAGCTGAACCTAATAAAGGAAACCAAAAAGAAAAAAAGCTGGCTTCAGATAGGTTCAAAATAAAAGAGAAAATAAAATTATATACTGTACCAACTTCTCAGTGAAAATTGCAAAACTGTAACAGAAGGAAGAACTGCTCCAATCCCTCGTTAATAGTTTATAAGATAATTTGAAGACAAGTTTGAAAAACCAGGATTCACCTTGAGTTAGAATTTTCTCAGTGGAGAGACAAGAAGTTGTTTGGATTGCAAGATGTTATTTTTAAAACAAGGATATTTTATACACAATGCTCTTCTAGATCTAATTGGTTCTAGTATTTTTAAAGATGCACAATTATTAAAAAATTGCAAAAGCAAGGGAAAACATTTAAAAGTTTGACTGAATTTGAAAATCTTATAGCACATAATGCGAAACATTTGTTGGGCACAACTTGTAACTTACTAGTAAAATGCAAATTAGAACCTCAACAGATTAAAGGTTATATATTTAAATGTATGAAAAATATAGAGATGAAACAATGAGAATTTCTATGCAAAAGAAATTAAATTTACTTCAAATAATAGAGAATTGGGACCAGGTGTTGTACTGCAAGTACTGTATATCACTGTAGTCTTGACCATTAAAACGATTAATTCCTTTTCCAAAAAATGCTAGAAAAGTAATGAACAAAATAGCAACAAAGAAAAAAAAAGAAAGTCATTCAGTCGGGACTATGTTTGAACTAAAGTAGCAAAAATCCATTTCTAGTTTTTCCCATGATGTTTTTCTTCAATGCTGCAATAAAATAGTATCAGCTAACTATTATCCTCCCCCAGTGGAATGCCTGACCTTTGTAGATGGAGCAGTTGAAATTCTCACTTGGCAACTGTGTACCTGAAGAACCGGGAAAACTAGCTGGCCCTTTCATATCTAGTA